TATCAAGGCATAAAATCTCACAATATCTACTTTGAACTGGGTTATCTGAGTCCACACTGCCATATATTCCAGTTCAAAGCAGAATTCCTACTGGGATTTTATTCAGTTGTGTGGAAAGGGCTTTAAGGTGTCCTTGTTGTGAGGTTTTCATGGTAGGATTTGTTCAGAGGGGATTTTGCCATTGCCCTCTTCAGGCTGAGAGAATATGACTTGTCCAAGGTCTCCCAGTGGGTTTCCATGGCTTAGTGAGGTTTGAACTTCGGTTTTCCAGACTCCTAGTCGAGCTCTCAAACCACAACACCACAATGACTCTACAATTATTGCAGAGCTAAACCCAGACAAATAAGCAGTTTGCCTTTTCCAGGACAAATTTTGCACATCTAGCAGTGATGGACCAGGATACACAAAAAGGAAAGCAAGATGTACAGTCCTAAAACTAGGGTGGAAATTCTGTAATCCTCTAGCTGTTGTAGAACCTCAAGTCCTGGCATCCGTAGCTACTAGCTAGCATAGCCTCTGATGATGAATGCAGGGAACATCAAGAGGGCTTCACAATTCCCACCTCTGCTATATGTCTAAGTAAAGGGTAGTTTTTAACTAATTGGATTGCAGCCCAAAAAAATCCACGAGAAGTCTGATACACCAGCTATACAGAGAGAGCATCAAGACAATCAACAAATGGGGCTTTGTCCATAATAGTCCTATTCAGACAAAACATCCACCTACAGAACTAATAACTTTTTAACATCATAGTAACTAGTTATAAAGCCTGGGTGATTCTGGGGTTTATAGGCCAAAACAGTAAATTTTGCTAACACTTCGATATCCCAGCATTGATTTCACTGAAAGATATTAAGTGCCTCATCACACTAGGACAGAGTTCCTCAAACTGTGCTCCTCCAGATGTTTTGGACTTCAACTCCCACAATTCCTAACAGCTGGTAAGCTAGCTGGGATTTCCTGGGAGCTGAGCAGTTTAAAGGCCCTCCCCTAAACTACAAACCCCATAATTCTGCAGGAGGCAACAACCAATTTAAAGTGGATCCATGCTCTAGTGCAGTGGTTCCCAACCTGTGGTTCATGGACCACCAGTGGTCTGCAAGAACTAAAATATGGTCTGTGCCCTCACTGTTATTTCACCGTTGCAACAAGAGTAACTGGTCTTGTAAAACTCACTCATAGTTCTGAAGCTTATTAGATTAGGTTTTCTGTGTGCGAGCAGATGGCGACTACTGGATGGCATATGTTCTGTATTAGAAACTAGAGCTGATGTGGTCTATCCAATGCAATTTTCTGAATCGGCACCCCAAATAACCAAACCAAATCTTAAGTTGACCAAAAAACTGATTTGTAACAGTTTTGGTACTAATGTTAGAGAGTGGTCTCTGGTCAAGTGGTCTCTAGTCAAAAAAGGTTGGGAACCACCCCTCCAGTGTGATGAGGTCCTTAGTTTGTATAGCACATGCTTCTCCTGGACTGTGCCCCATATAAGGAAAGGAAAGGTCACACCTCCCACCACCTTGTCACAAGCGCCACCAGGATTGATGGGTATCACTGCATCCCAGCAGTGCTCTCGCAGGAGGCATGACAAGTCAACCTGTTGTCCTGCACCCCGCTGCAGTTTCAACCTGCTTCCTCACACAGGAAAAAGTTTGTTTTCAGCAGCTCAACCCATCTTTCCTAATGGAAAGACGGGGAGCCTGTCATTATCTGCCACCACCATTTTTTGGCAGTGGCTGTAGTTCAGTCATGGAGCCGCCCCAGAAGTAGAACTCTGGGGTCTGATGGGAGGCATTGGGCTCTGTGGCTGAAGTCTAAAAACCCCATCACCATCACCACCGAAAAAAATGTAAGTGTGAAGAGGTCCACTCTACAATGCTCAGCTGTATTGTGCAGAAATGCCCATCCAACCCATACTCGCTACAGAATAAAACACTTTGCAGAGTATACTGAAGGATCTTGTGAGCCGAAACTGGTTGCAGGTTGGAGTCGCCTCGTGTGTAACGAAGGGAATAAGACACCTATCATGACTACTGGAGTCTACTCGTATGCAATAAAGAATAGGACATTTATTATCATTCAAGGACTATTCTTACTCACACGAAGGTTGTTTTTTTTCATACTTCAAGAGAAGAACCAATTGTTTCTGCTTAATGTGAATGTGGCAGCTCTGTATTTTGTTGATATGTGTATTTGTAATGTAATGTATACATTGAGCTAATTTAAATACTTTCACATTACCACAATCAGTGGATTTTGGTCTCCACAGTTTTAGGGGAACCCATTTTTCTTTTCAGTGAAGTCTAAAAACTCCATCACCACCACCGAAAAAATGTAAGTGTGAAGAGGTCCACTCTATATTGCTCAGCTGTATTGTGCAGAAATGCCCATCCAACCCACAATATTACTGTAATAACAGATACATTGATGATTAATATTAGTATTATTGTTGTTGTGTTTATTATATTTATACCCCACACTTTTTCTCTCTACAAAGGAGACTCAAAGCGGCTATCATGCACTTTGCACATTCAGTCTGTTTTGTATGTTAACTAAATGATACATAACAATTGTTTAAAGTAAACCTCAGGAGGAGATGGTGAACAAATAACTAGGAACTGACAAAGCAGTTAATAGGTGGGAACTGATACTACTTTTTCTCCATTTCTCTACTTTGCTTTTCTTACAAATCCCAGGATTCTAAAACTATTATGGTTTTTTGTATTATTGTATTATCTACTGTTTTCTTTTGTAGATAATCTTTTAGCATCAGCCAGAGTCAATCAGCTGTTACACTTCTTGTTAATGGGTCTTAGAAAATACATCTTAACAATGGCAACCAAGTTGAAGCCAGGGAAAAAATCTGTCTAGATAGCAGATAGAATGGGAAGCATTGATAGTTGCTTAGTGCCTTCAAGGTAGCTTCAATTTGTAACTTCTGTTTGTTAAACAAACCTGCATAGAACCATTTAGACTTTTATATTTTGTTTTTCCAGGTACTGATTTTGAGTACAGGCAGTCTCCAAGTTACAAACAAGATAGGTTCATAGGTTTGTTCTTAAGCTGAATGTGTATATAAGTCTGGACAGGTAAATGTTTTAAGTGTAACTCCAGTCAAATATATAGTGAAGGGATAGCATCACTGTGGTGTTTGTTTTGTTGTTTGTGCTCTTATTCAGAAGATGTCACCTTACTTTCTATCCCTGTGATACCTGGATTTTGTAAACATTGGTTTGTTGTGGAAACAAGGATTATTGAGAAAGCTTCAGTGGAGGGACCTTTTCCCCATGATAACTCTTTCAGGAGTGACTTTCTCTTTCAAGGGGCAGATTTCTCTCACTTCCTATTGTCTCACCCCCATTCTTAACTGTGAGTTGTTTGTTAGTTGGATGCTTGTAACTCGGCCACTGCCTGTATATAGAGCTGGGCAGTAGGCATTGCCTACAATATTGACTGGCACCAGGGAATACGGCTTGCCACTGAGTTTGACAAAGAACATTGCTTGCTGATCTTTTTCTGAAACTAGCTCAAGATACTGGTGCTGATCAATACATTTTAGATCTGTGGTCTGGAACTCACGAAACTAAAGGGGAAAGGAACCTTCTCTTACACTGCTGAGATGCTGTGGTTATATGCCAAGGCCTTCTTCTTCATTACCTGCTTGAAGTCAATTAGTGAGGCTAGTCTAATCCTGATTTGCCTCCAGGCTCCTCACCTTTGCACGTGTAGAAGCAGAGATGGGACTATGAGATCTCATTGCTGGCCCTTTCCTTGCTACCTGTGTGTTAAATGTAAACATGAAAAGAAAAAAAACTAGAAAACTATAACTGTATATGTTGAAAAGAGATTATAATACTATTTGCTATTTTTAAGAATTTTGAATTTTTGTTCCTATTTAAAACTATTGACGATATTCAAGTTAAAACAATCCACAGGGTCACCATAAATTAACTTGACAGCACTTGACAGCACCATTTTCAAAACCTTAGGGTTGATAAGAAAATGTGGCAAAATTTTAAATATTTCCAATCAAAATATTTGTGAATACTTCCAAAAGTAACTTGGAAAAGTACCCAGAAAACAACACTTAAGTATTTTCTGTTGGTCATGGGGGTTCTTTGTGGGAAGTTTCCCCCAATTCTGTCAGTGGGGTTCAGAATGCTCTTTGATTGTAGGTGAACTATAAATCCCAGGAACTACAACTCCCAAATGTCAAGGTCTATTTCCCCCAATCTCCATCTGTGTTCATATTTGGGCATATGGAATATTCATGCCAAGTTTGGTCCAGATCCACCATTATTTGAGTCCACAGTGCTGTCTGGATGTAGATGAACTACAACTCCAAAACTCAAGGTCAATGCCCACTAAACCCTTCTAGTGTTTTCTGTTTGTCACGGGAGATCTGTGTGCCAAGTTTAGTTCAAATCCAATGTTAGTGGAGTTCAGAATGCTCTTTAATTGTAGGTTAACTATAAATCCCAACAACTACAACTCCCAAATGACAAAATCAATTTTTTTTTTAGTGATGGTCACTCCTTGGGTTAATAGGTGTCTTGTGGCCAAATTTGGCGGCGATTCATCCAGTGGTTTTTGAGTTATGTTAATCCCACAAATGAACATTACATTTTTATTTATATAGATATATAGCAACATATAGGATAAGACTGCAAAAAAACCCCAATGTAGGTTAGTCACATGAAATCTTTACAGAGGTATTGCTAATTTAAACAAATTTTACTCCTAGGTGAGCATTCATATGTTTTCAATGCAATATATACTCAGAAGTAAATCCTACCAACTTTAGTGGATCTTAATCACCGGCAAACAAGCACAGCATGATACTCTTCATTTGCCATCTGCCATAAAAATAGGGGGGATTGAGGCATACTAACATTTGCCTTCCATTCACTCTTGGTACATTATAGTTCCACTTTGATGATACATATTTTTAATATCTTGTTTGTTTATCTTGGTTTTTTTTCTCTATCTTTTCAACCCAGTGAACAGCATCAAGCACATAGTGAGGAAGTACCGTGGGCATCTTCGAACGAAGATTGAATCTGGGGAAGGAACCATCCCGGCTCGATGTCCCAGTGCAGTCCAGACATGGGATGGCGTGTTATTGGGGGAGCAGCTTGTCACAATGTCCTGCACAGACAAAATTGCCAGGTAACATATAATGGAAGTATAAAACAAGTGGCAAAAAATATGGAAAATATTAATCATATTACAAAAGACTTTGTTTCCTAGTAGAGAAATAAATTATGACCTAAGAAAATAGGCCAAAAATGAAAAACACGAACACTCTGAAAATGAAATTATATCTTTGCAAGCCAAAGAACAGAATGTAACAGATGTATAATCTCTGCTTGTATGGATCCAATGGGGCTTGATTCTAATACATCTTGCAGAGATTGGATCTGAACAAAAGATCTCTAGTAAGATTTAGAACTACGGTGATATAACACAGTAAAGCAATTGCTTATATAGATAAATTGCAGGAAAACTGCATAATTCCAATTTCCATCAAGTCTATCTAGCATGTTCAGTGATCAAGAAAGATAAGAGTTTTGGTCCAACATTTTCCACATTTTACTAACTCTTTTTGTTCAACTAAAGAACAATACATCCCACAGGAAGGACTGCTGATTGATAGGTCAGCAGTTTGAATCCGGGAAGAGTGGGTTGAGCTCCCTCTGTCAGCTTCAACTCCCCATGCGGGGACATGAGAGAAGCCTCCCACAAGGATGGTTAAACATCAAACATTCAGGTGTCCCCTGGACAATGTCCTTGCAGGCTGCCAATTCTCTCACACCAAAAGCAACTTGAAGTTTCTCAAGTCGTTTCTGACATGAAAAAAAAAGACTCTCTTAATTTGAAGAAACCTCTCAAACACTCACTTGCACATCATCTGCCAGTCCGGTTTCAGGATATTGGGAACTTCAGAGTTACTCCTCTGCAGACAACTGCACGAGAATAGCAGTGACCAAAATATAAATTGCACCTTGAAGGATGTAGCAGTTCAAATAGAAGGAATAATGCCAGAGATGCAAAAGTTGATTTCACACCTTTTTGCTAATCAACCATTCGTATGTATGAGTGCCTCTGCCATCTGTCCATTCCAGTACCAGTGGGGATGAGGTGCTGTCCTTTGCATCCCCTCCTGGTCTGTCAGGGCTGCTGGCCGGGTTAGGAAAGGGAGCCAACAGCAGCAATGATGGCCACAGATGCCTTGCTTTCCCAAAAAGATGCACAAAGAAGGGCTCAGAGAAAGAAGTGGGGGAAAGATTGGCAACAGTGTGCCAGGCAGCTGGGCACAGACAGGCGGGCAGTGAGATGGATAGGAAGTGAAGGATGGTCACTGTCTGCTGTCACATCTCTGCCCATCACCAAGTCCCTTCCTGCTCTTTCCTCAAGATTTCACACTCCAATCATGTAGGGGAGGAAGGTCTGGGCCCTTGACATGGTGTCAGACCAGATAGAGCTGCCATGCTTCTCCCACCTGCATTGCCATTAGTGCCACCACACTCTGGTTCCCTAGTTAGCTGGGGAAAAGTCGATCCATGTGTTGTGTGTGTGCAAAAGAGAGAGAGAGTTGTTATTTTGCATGGAATGATTTCAATAAAAATATGATAATACTTGTTTCTTTAACCCATTGAGCTGCAGTGGCGTAATGGGTTAAACCCTTGTGTTGGCTGAACTGCTGACTTGAAGGTTGGGTTGCTGACCTGAAATTTGCTGGTTTGAATCCCTGAGACAGGGTGAGCTGCTGTCTGTTAGTTTTAGCTTGCAGGGACACGAGAGAACCCTCCCAGCAGGATGGTAACACACCAGGGCATCCCCTGGGCAACATCTCTATAGACAGCGAATTCTCTCACACCAGAAGCGAGCTGCCGTATGTTCTCATGTCACTTCTGACATGATTTTTTAAAAACTTGTTTCTGCTTACTATCCAAATTTGAAGGTGGTTGATGAGCAACTTTTAATATATATTTGATGTAATTTAGGGTTTTAAAACTTGAGATGAAGGGTGACTAGTAAAGAAATGGTTAAGGAGAGCTAAATAAAGCTATTCAGGAAGTTTACGCATCTTCATGTCTTAAGCCACTCTATGCAAGATAATAGCAATGTTTATAGAAGGGGTAGTGGGATTTTCCGCTGTTTATACAATAGCAGAAAAAATGCTACTTTTTGGTCTTAGTTTACCTGGGTGGCCGTGTTGCAGTCAATAGTACTATACAATCAAAATGAGTTTTTGCACATTTGATCTAATTGTAGGAATAATAAGAGAGTCCAATGGCAATACACCAAAATAATCTGACACATGTAATGAAATAGTCTCAGAGTAACATTGGATCAAATCTTCCAGTAGCAGATTGTCTCGAAGACGTAAGATAAAAGTCTCCAACAGCATTTCCCTGTTGCACCTGAGTATGATCAAACTTTCAAAATCAAATCTAAGGCAGAGAATGACTAAATAAATTAAAGCTTCAGTCTCTGGCTGCCTCTGATTTTCTGAATGTCAATAGATAATAAATTAAATATACATTCAGAAACCAGTATTATATTTTAATCTTGATGGGAAAATCAATTGCAATATAGTGTCCAAAGCTAATATTATTTCTTCCAAATGAATCTGACTTTATCCACACCAGCTCAGTCTGGATTATTTCAAGACTCCTTACACTCCTCCACAACGCCACAATAATGTGACATGTTGTCAGGGTCTCTGTTTCCAGCATCAAAAGAGAAACTCTTGTTTTGATGTTCAAAGTATGCTAATTGTTGACAATATTACTTATTAATTACACATTAATATGAAAGTGTGCTAGGTATTTTAGACTGCTCTTCCTATGTTGTCAAAGAACGAATAGAAAGCACGTGAGATTTTCATCAGCAATCCCTTTTAGAGATATCTCTGTGAGGCCTCCTTCCATGAGAATCCTTCTACATTTATGTCAAAGCTAAAACCAGATTCAGTCTCTTCCTGATTCTCTTTCACTCTATATTTCCTGCCACAGACTTTGTTTTCAATTTAGTACAATTTAGAACTAGATATTTGGGGAATTATCTCTGTGTTGAGCTTTCCACCTCTTTGCCATAATAAATAGGACAACCTTCCTTGTGCCCTCCAGATGTTTGTGACTAACAATTCGTGAAGTTGACTGGGGCTAGTCCAAAACATCATGATTAGCTTTCCTGAATTTTAGTGTTGCCAGCATTTTTGCACACAAAAAATTACCCGGAAAGGTTTTTTGTGCAAAACCAATTAGTAGTATTAGTATTAGTAGTGCCATGCTACAGTCATTCATAGATCCATGGAAATGTTCCATTTCTCCCACGATTAAAAGAAAACTATAGATGTTATTCATCCTTATAGGTGAGAACAAACTGGTTTGCTTTAGTGGTTATTTGACTGTTACACTATGAGTAACTAAAAGTCTTAATATCTATTGTACACAACTTTATTCAACTGTGGAATCCAGAGTAACAACCCTGACACAGAGCTGGTTTCTGGGTCTTACAAATGTCTATAAAAATCCAAACTGAACAATTGCATGGGTGGTGTGAAAAGTGTTATACATAGAGTGGGGACCCCAATATATATGTGAGCATTGCTTGGGAAAGTTACATTTAACTATAACTGTGGTCATTGTTAAAACTTCAAAAGCACACATTTTTCATGACTTACCAAAGTAGCTGTTTTTTGGTGTATTGGAGAGAATTACAGGAGCCAAGCGAATAATGCAGAGTGAATAATTTATCCAACAGCTGTTATTGTATTTCCTTGCTTGTAAGGTATTTATAAGCAAAATAAGCAGTTTCATCAATCTGCTATTATCATTCAAGACATTCTGCAACTTCTGTCATTCAACAACTTTTTTGTGTGCTAAAGGTTTAATCACAGTTAAAGTGTGTTGACAGGCAATTCTCTGCGGCCACTGACAACTCCAGAGCTGAAAGAACATCTGCTTCCAAAAATGACTAGCTTTTCCATGGGACCAGCTCCAGGGTTGAAGGGGATATTGGCCCAGTTCTGTCTGGTGGGACCCCTTCTATGTCAGTGATTTCTGAGCTAGCAACAAAAGCAGGTGTTTACAAAATATGGTTTTAATTTCCCTTTGTGGAGTCTTCCTGAACAGCAATCAAATAAATTCAAAATGGCAGCTCATAGACATAGCGCACCATTACCAGAATAAGAATCTACACTGGGAACCTGTGAATTTTCTACTGGGAAGGACAATAATGGCTGGTAAAGTGGAAAACAGTGATTGGTTGATTCAGTCAAGGAAGTCACAGACCTAAGCAGGGCTGTTGATAACAGGTATTTGTTGGCAATCTCCCATCCAAGAGCTACCCTGCTTGGTTTCCAAGATCAGAGACACTAGATCCTGTTTGATCTTGGAAACTTAACAGGGTAAACCCTGGTAATTATTTGAACGGAAGCAATATAGACTATTTTTATTGTGCAGTGCCCCCATAAGGTGAAGCTGACTTGATGGCAAATATTAACAACAACCACAAATCATATCACTTCTCAATCTTGTCTTCTCCATGCTAAGCTCGCCCAACTCCCTAACCCATTCCTCATAGGACTTGGTCAGTAGACCCTTTATCATTCTCCACAGGACATATTTCAGCTTGCCAGTGTTCTTCTTGAATAGCAGAGCTCAGAATGTGACAGAGTATTCCTGGTGAGATCTGGCAAAACAGCACAGATTGGTATTTTCACAGATGCCTAGGAATGTGTTCCTAGAGAGCTATATGGTGTAGCAGGAGGATCTAACATCTTCCTGATGGCAGAGATCCACTACAAATAATGCTAATTTTCAGGTTGATCGTGTCAACATCAAATTTGGTGGCTGTGACAAATCTAATGATGGTGCAACCTAAAATGGAATTTGTGGGGTCCAGAATACATCCTTCTATCCCAGAAAGGTATCTTCTTCTGCCTTCATACCACCTCTGAAAAAGCTTTTGCATAAAAGAAGAAATGCTTTATCACAGTGGTTCTCAAACTGTGCTCCTCCAGATGTTTTGGACTTCAGCTCCCACAATTCCAAACAGCTGGTAAGCTTGCTGGGATTTCTGGAAGCTAAAGTCCAAAATGCCTGGAGGAGCACAGTTTGAGAACCACTGTTTTATCACAATGGATTCACATATTCAAT